GGAACCAAACCTACGGATGTTAATTGTCCCCCGCTTTCATAAAGTACACTGCATAAATTTCGGTCTGTCTATCTAGCTGTATTTCACTCTTGTCTCTAAAGGCTTTTACAATGAAAATTTTACACAGCAACGTACAATGTCCCAAGGAAGACCTATTGATTTTGAGGTGAAAAGTTCAGACATCAAGGTCATTGAATCTTTTTGTTTTAGGAATTTCGTTCTCTCGCAATATCGCGAGAAATTTTGAGCATTTGCAGTGAAAATTGTGTGTTCAGTACCTCCACCGTATACAACGGGTAACGCGTGGGAGTCGCTAGAAAGTATTTGGGGAGTCGCTTTCGGAGACTTTTGAAAAATTAATAATTAAGACATTTTCTCTTCAGACAATAAATGTTACGTAGGGGGAATCTTTTTCGGTATTTGTAAGATGTATTTACAAAAAAAATTATAGCCCACGGAAGGTAGCAATTGTTAAGCTTTGTATTGGTCATTTTTCTGGCTAGTAGCATATTCGTCTAGTTTTCTCAAACACTTCGAAACTATTCGACAGATTTCATATTTACGTTGATCGAGTGGTTAAAACATGCATGAACTGCAAAATCTACGACTTGAGTAGGGATTCTGACAGTTAAAACAGCAAAAGCAAACGTTTATCTTTCAAATGCAACAATTAAAACTTGTCTAGACTTTTTAAAAATTAATAATTAAGACATTTTCTCTTCAGACAGTAAATATTAGGGGGAAGTCGTTTATGGAAAAACACATCGCATGGGGGAGTCGCAAAATAAAGTGAAATGCATACTTTTGGGTTGTTTTTATGTTTTATATACTGCCAATACCTTTTTATTTACTCATATATGTCTATAAATCGCGATCGATGTTTGGTTAATTCCTTTATAATTTGAAGTTTCGATTTCTATGGATTTATCAGTTCTAGAAAAAAACAGCAATATTTATGTACAACTGGATTATTCGGAGCACGTGTGCTTGGGGACAAGACCCTCCTCACAATGTAATTTTCTTACATCACAAAAAATACAAAAAAAAAAAAAAAAGATCACGAACCTCCTCTCCATAAAAAAGAACAACCAGATATAATAATTTCTTAATAATATTAACCTTTTTGTATTAGAAAAAAGGAAAACAGTCAAGCCCCTGACTTTTTTTTTGGGGGGGGGGGTAGAAATTTTTAACTGGTATATGCTCTCAATCTAATCCACAGATAACATTTATAATTTAATTATTTATTTATCATATAAGTAACACATCTTCAGGCACCAACGAATGAGAATATCTGGGATAATCTGGGGTTAATACAAATATGTTAATATACAGGAAGAATGCTGAAGACGGGACTGAACTGCATATTTCCCCAAGCGCTGGAAATGCATGTCTACTGTATGATAAATAATAGGCCAAGTGTAAAAATAATAAACCCCAAACAGATATCAAACTATTTTTTCACTGTATTCATCTAATCATATGTTATCCTCCCTTACCTTTTCGCAAATATTCTTAAACTGAAAGTTGACATACATGTATAATGAACACTAGCTGCAGAACTGTAGCTCTCCGAAAAAATAATTATTGACAGACCGGAGAGCTACAGTGCCACCCATTGAAAAAAAAAACTGTTTATTTATTTGCGCACGGTTCTGGATTAATTCTTCTAAATTCTTACCTCAATTGCAAACAAGGCAGATTCAAAAAATTCCTTACTCCTTCGAGTAATCTCGTAGTTACATCTGTACGAGCGCGTTGGACCGAATTATCTTGCAAATAAAAATGGTAGTATAAATGGGCGAAATTTTCGATGATCTTAATATCAGAGCCGGAAGGGCTATTAAAAACAATTATAATGCATGTTTTGTTGTGGAAACAGTGAATGAATATGTACATGTAAGGAGCACAGGGTTGGTAATATTTTGATATAAATGTTTTAAAAACATGGGGGAAAATCGAGAAACAGCACACTTTTTTGTGCGCAATAAATATACAGTTTCTTCAATGGGTGGCACTGTATCTCTCCGGCCTGTCAATATAATTTTTTTTCGTTTCTCCGAAACAAAATTATATTATTAACATATTCATTCATTTTTATTTTTTTTTTTAAATTCTTCTTTTCTGCTCCTGTGCATTAAATAAACTAACCAAGTGTATAGTTAAGTTGAAAATGACTGCGTCTTACAGGGTCAGGGGTTCTAGTGCTAGGGCGAGGCTACATAGATTATATAGTGAAAATGCATATTCTTTTAAAAATTCTTCTGCTCTGTTCAGGGGCATTAAATAAACTAACTAAGTGCATAGTTATGTTGAATAAGCCTGCCTCTTCCAAAATTGTGAATTTCATGACCCCTGGGTGGGTGGGGTGGGGGGGGGGGGTTCTGATGTTAGGGTGGGGCTCTATTGATTATATAGTGAAAATGCATAAATTCTTTAAAAATCCCCTTTTCTGCACTTGAGTATTAAACCAATGAACTATATAAAATCTAGTAACCCCCCCCCCCTTGTTCAAAGCATTGCAACGTCATGACATGGTGGCGCTACATAAGTTTTTGACGACGACACAATGACATGAGGTCATAATACATTTGCTTTGCAACAAGAGGAGAAGGTAGGTCTTCATAAGCTGATTCAATTTCTAATGATTTACTCTTTTCAAAATCGCATTTTAAAGACGAACAAATACTGGCGAATTGAGGCAATTGAGTGCTAAATAATGAAATACTCTTAAAAAATAGATTCCTTAAAAATTATATTTTTTTATATTAATTTATGTTGGCCTATAAGGCTATTATATTTATCGTGACGTCATAATAATGTGACGTCTCAGAGGTCTTTGACGATGACCTAATGACATCACAATAGCATTTGCTTTGCAACCAAAACAAAGGAAACGTGTACAGTGTGAGTATTACACATTTGAAGTATGCAGAAAATTTACGAACTGGATTGCTTATGGTTACTGGTGTGTACTTTTTGTGGGATCGGGATGGAGGGGGGTCGGGTCGGTAGAGGAGGTCCTGCTAGTAATGCTGGCTATTTATTAATTTGATTAGCGTGTTTTCAGTACATTTGTCAAATGTGCATATAAAAGGTGCAAAATATTGACACCGTAAGGTCTTAAATTGAGTAGCACATAGGTACCAAACGCCAAATATTTAAATATACTCCATCCTTAAATCTGCATCGACTGGGTATCCATAAATTAATTCTGCAAAAGGGTGAGGGGGTTAGATATCATAAAGATTAAGATACGGCATTTAAACATACAAGAAAAAAACAGAGATTCTCATCAATGTGTATTAAGAATCTTTTCATGTCCATATTTTATTACATATAATGGTGTTTATTATGAATATAACAATAAATACTTACGAATTGTCATTTTTTTTTGTAGATTTCAGAATGGCATTAGAAATAGATTACAACGAAGTGTTAGATTTTGGCGAGGAGGCGGTGAAGAGTGTGGTAAGATTCTTTGTTGAATCGACAATTACCCCCCCCCCCCTTCACTCCGACTATTTTTATGTACTTTATATGTATAATATCGTAGTGATTTCGTGTGTTATAAATGTAATAATCATGTATGTACTTACTCAGTATATGCTTTTCAATTTATCGATCATAAAAATTGCAACCAAAAAAAAAAATGATACTGAAAATGTTTTCACCTAAACCTTTTTTTTTATCAACCTATCTTTTTCCAGGACGAAAAGATGAACATCTTGAAATTTGATTATAATTGGGCCGAAGTAGTGGAGGAAGCAGAACATTTAAAGCAAGAGGTATTTTAATTGAAGTACAGTAATCTCAACATTTAAACATCTTACTAAACATGATTTCATCATATCGTAAAGTAAAGTGTTGACTTCGTTGAAAGTTCTAAATCAAAAAGTTGAAACTTAGTATCACTACAATTTTTAATATGTGTTTTCATGGACATGCTAAAAAAACAATTTTATTTGTTTGCAGACAAAGATCGAAGGGAAAAAACATCGAGACCCACAAAAAATATTAAGGAGGATCCACGAGCAAAGAATGGTAAGAAAAAAAAAATACGTATTTCTTTTTTTTTTTTTTTTTGGTCCTTTAAAAATCCTCTCCTGTTTCATTTCTTTATAAAATTAGCAAAATGTGTTGATGTTCTTTGCAGCGGGAAATAGAAGACAAAAACAAACATAGACTGGTCTTAAGTCAAGTTCATAAGGAATTGTTGGTAAGCATATAGAATATGGTTATAAATATGATCAGTACGTGATAAACACATACCGGTATACTTTTTAAAAACAATCCGCTGTTTAATTAGAATTGTGTACCATTTGTTTTAATTATTAATTACAGAACATCTTCGGTGCTATGCAGAGAAAACAGACAAAACGAGATCCCCAGAAAATACTTAAATTACACCACGAGATACGTATGGTAAGATAACACACTCAAACAGACAAGTGTACAAATGTTTTCAAAAAAGAAAAGCAGAAAATTAGATTATTATATAAATATCTAATATTAAGACGTGTTGCTTTTTCCTTGCAGAAGAAGATTGCGACAAAAATAGAGACGAATATACTCATCATGACAGCATATAAGCGATTACTGGTAAGAAAAGAAAGAATCTCTCAAAAGATAGCAGATTTTATGCAAGATGCAGTAGTTTTCAGAAAATAATAATATAGGAAACAGTTTTACAGTTTTACATATTTGTTTTTTTTCTTTGTAGGAAAGATTCGAGGCCAAGCAGAGACACACAGAGTTGCTGAAGACTGTCCATAATGAGCTATTGGTAAGTACATACTTATGTTTTACAGTTGATATTGCTATATATAGCTGATGTAGACAGTCTGTTTTACTTATATTTATTTTTTATCCTTGACTGTAAACTGCTTTACAACTTAAAAATATGCAGAGTAGTGACAAATTCTTACTTTGTGATCATCTAGACTGGTAGTTCATTTATTAACTGGTATGTTCAAACTGTTTATAACTTCTCTATTTAGAGTGTGGTGAAAAAAGAAGAAAACACAGATACATGTACAACTGGAGAGAGAAAAACTCTGCTAAGTAGACTAAAGGTACTTTTTTAAAAAAAAATACAGAGAATGCAGTTCAATAATATATTAAAATATATTTTCTCTGAAATAGCCCACTTTTTTATTTATAGAAGAATATATTACATTTCAGGTACTGGCAGACAAAGCAAAAGAACTGGTGGAATGGATGTGTTTTCAGTGGTTTTAACTTTTTCAAAAAGAAAATTGTCAGACGAATTTTGTTTCATTGAACGGATTAAACGTAATTAACCTTTAATCGAGTTTTCTTTTTTTTTTTCAATGAAACATATGTAGTTATATCTACAAAATTAGAAGTATTCGATCGCAGCTGAAAGAGAATGTAAAATGATCAAATTAAAAACCGCTCATTCAGTTATAGAGAGGGGAAAATGAAGGTGATATGGCGTCCTGCTCCAGGCCTTCTAAATTGCAGCGTATTGTGGTCATGTCCTGGAAACTGTCTTCCGAATGGCTAAATGTGTAAAACAAATTCCTTAAAGCAATATGAGCTGCATTCTGGAAAAAAATAATTTTGCTGTTTACATGTGCTATTATGATAAATCTGTATGTAATTGAAACTATTATATTTAAAGGTACTTGGACACAGATTTGAAGTTATGATTTCTATATAATATTATGACTTATATATTTTAATAGCATTTCACACAAAAATTAATTAAAAATCTTATTTCATATAAAAGATATTAAAATTTCAATTTTTTGGGCGGGTTTGATTGACACATCCTTGCACTTTCACAAATTAATTTTATTCTTAATCCTTAGGAAAAGTGGCAATCTTGTAGTTTATAAATGAAAAAATATTGATACTATAATCCAGAAAATTCAGATTAGACATGTTTGAAAGCAAAACAAACACACAATATATTGTCAGTCAGTGCAGGTGTGGTAAGCAGACTGTGACGATTGAACGCACCCGGTGAATTGTAAACATCAACAATAACTATGGCACGCCAAATTCACAAAAATTAGCTAATCATAGTTTCACAATCGATAAACTAGGTTTATCAGTTGTAAACTATAGTTTACGGACTGTAAACTATAGTTAACAACGTTAATCTATATTTTACATCTGTAAACCATAGTTAACGCGATAATCTATGTTTCACAACCGTAAACTATACTTAACACCGAAAACAATCATTTGCGATTGCAAAACATAGATTATCTGATAAATGCAGTTTCACGATTTGTAAACTATAGTTTACAACTCTTAACTATAGTTAACTGTTAACTGATAAATATAGTTTCGATTTGTGAAACTATGATTAACAACTCTTAACTATAGTTTACGATTGTAAATTATAGTTTACAAACGTGAATCTATGTTCATCAACAAAATCTATTGTGAACGCTTTATTACAGACAGATAAACTTAGATTAGCATTCGTAAACTATAGTTAACAACCGTTAAATATAGTTTTACAGATGAAAACTATAGTTAACGAATTGTTAACTATAGTTTACGGTTTGTAAACTATAGTTACAGTCGATAAACCTAGTTTATCAACTGTGAAACTATGTTTAGCTCATTTTTGTGAATTTGGCGTGCCATAAATAACAGAACTCGCGCCCTGTTTACAAAAACTGTGTACATAACTCGGGTGTGCTCGATTTGCTAAACTCTGTACGCAAGTCTTAGTTCGGAATGACGATACTTGTGAAGGAGTTTTGCTTTCTAACATTTCTACTCTGAATAAAATTATTTTTCTGGATAAAAGTTTTAATATTTCTCATAAATACACAACAAGATTGCCACTTTTTCTAAGGATTAAGAATAAGGTTAAAATTTGTGAAAGTGCAAGGATGTGTCAATCAAACCCGCCCAAAAATTTGAAGTTTTAATAACTTTTAAATGAAATAAGATTTTTAATTAATTTTTGTGTGAAATGCTATTTACAATATTATAGAAAAAATATTGACGTCAAATCTGTCTCCAAGTACCTTTAATAAGAGTGATATAAAGAATTATATTGGTTTTCAGGAAAAAGAAAAATACAAAGGAATGCATAGTATTATATAAGAAATCAATATTGTACAGGACGACAATAATGTAATTTTGCTTCAATCAAAGCATATAAATTGTTCTTCCGTCTGTAATATAAAGAATAGAAGTTTATAAATGTTCTTTTGTCTGTCATTTAAATAGGTAACTACAATATTGCAACAAAAATTTTCGACCTCAAACTTGCAGCTCATATTGCTTTAAAATATTTACATGTGTACAATTTTGAATACAAGTATATGCATAAGTATTTGTGAGATGCAGTTTCATTTAGCCCATTCTAGTCTAATGGATATGAATTCGACATAACATTTTTCGAACGGTAAAGACAGACAATACCAGTCAAAATATTCGGCAAGATTCTCAACACTTGTGATCATATACGCATTACCTCCCTTGTTTTGTACTATAGAAACTCTTGTTGCTACAGGGAGGGGAGATGGGGAGGAAGGGAAATTTAGGGAAATGGAGAGGGGATTCGGGATGAGAGGGAAGGATAGAGGTGGGAGAGGGGAAGGGGGTGGGAGGGTGAAGGGCAGGGGGATGGGAGGGAAGGGGAGGGGGAAGAGGAAAAGTAGAGGGAAAGGGGGATGGGACAGGAAGCAGGATGGAGAGAGGAAAGGTTATGCGGATGAGAGGGTGAAGAGAAAGGTATACAAGTGTCGAAAAGCTTTCACGTGTTAAAATTTAGGAGATATAAGTTGCATTACACATTATCATCAAGGGAAGATTGAAAATAAATTTGTTATTAAATCTATTGTTAATTTATCGGAAAATGCCATCCTCCCTTTAAAGAAAATCAGCTATCTCAAAATTCAGTCCCGTTACGTAAGTAAACGCTTGTAATTGTTTTCTCGTAAATCTTATTGGTCAAATATAAAAGTATATCTTAACTGATAAGAAAATGTTTACAATAACCGTAGAAAGGAAAATCGAACCTTCTTTAGTCGATATTGAAAGTTATACATGAACTAGTACAGGAAAATTTTAAAATGCCATTTTTAGTGTAAAACAAAATTTCCGTTGCAACTAGTCTTCAAAAACAGCAATTGGGATAGAAAACTTGTTCACATTAACAGGTATTTAAGACCATTTTTGATAGAGGAATTTGAATATAATGTTATCATATTTTCCTTTTAAAGTGTTGAAAGGTTAGTGAATTTAAGATTAAAGCTAGGTCTTTAAAAGGGTTTGAAAATATTTCTTATTTCAGTGAGATTTAGTATTTCTAACTTCTTAGATCTTTTTTCAATTACTAGCTTTAAAATTGATCAGTATGTTTACCTGAAATTGGATAGCAAAGTTGTGAATTCAAACACACAATTTATGTTGTAAATTTTAAAGATACTTTTATATGAAATAAGGCTCTCTAAAAAGAAAGTTTCAATAGTTATTTCTTGATTTAAAAACACACATTACATTCTGTGTTAAAAACCTTTTCAATAAACTATACTTTTTTACTTTTTTGCTTGTAAAGAAGTACCTACATGTACGCTCCGAAAAAAAACAACAACCTGACTTTCTAGTTTGAAAATAAGTACCTACATCTTTTTAGATATTGCATCATTCAGATATATTTCATTCATTAGTTGTCATTCTTACAAATATAATTTCAAAGGGCAGTAATATAATAGGAAGTAAAAAATATAAGGTGACGATACCTTTTTTGCTTTATTTCATTCCCAAATAATAATTTACAATAAATTCAATGATTTTTTTTCATCTTTTTAGTCACTCTAAATTGTTTCGAGCAATTGGAAATCGATATAATTTAGATTTTATTCAATCCATTTTTATTTCTCGAAAAATTTGTTGTATACTACCGGTACATGGATAAGAACTTTTATTGATACTTTTAAAATCGTATATTCCTATTTTTTTGTCCTTCATCATTCAAAGTCCTTTAAAAATTCTCTAATAATAATTGAACATTTTTACATCTTTTGAATAAACTTCAAACTTCCTATTAGGAAAGTCAAATGCGTCCTTTTAAATTTATCTCTACCGTAATCCAGACAGCAAATGGTATTTCTTTACTATATAAACCAATATATCGCATAGGAACTTTATAGTCCATAGAATTTTAAGTATCTGTACTTTGTCACAGTGTATATAACCTAAACAGAATAAAGGTACATGTATCCATATACTGAAAAGATCGGTAAATCAATTTCATTTTATTTATGAGATTGTCCCGAAGTGTTCGGCAGAAAAATCAAATTTTACTTCTTCCTATTTACTTAACAATGTAATTCGTTACAATATTGGTATTATTCTCTTTCTTTTATCTTCATGTTCACATGTATAGTTGGGTATAAATTCTTCAAGGCGGGTGCATTAAGTTCTAAAAACTTAGGGTGTTTTTTGTTTTTTTTTTTGTCAAACATATACGCAGTAAAAACGTCTTTCAAACCTCTTGTACCGAGATTGAGTGTGAATGCAAGCAATAAAACTATGACTTTAACAATTTAGACACTGGAAAAGATTTTTTTGAAATGGATGGGCTATACATGGTTCCCATATTATTCCTGTGACTTAATTTATAACACCTTCTCTGTTCAATGCTATTGTTAAGCTAATAATTCAAAACGTGTATTTTATCTGATGGACGATACTTGGTCAATTCAGTTGCTGTTCTGATACCTCTCCTGAGAGCTCTCTAAGAAAGTCATAACGTAAACTTCAACCATATTTTGGAGGATCTAGGAAGAAATGTCATGCCTTCAAGGTCTTTTTTTTGTTTAAGGTATTGAAAGACTAGTTACTTGCTTAAAATATTTTAATATATCTGATACGTTTTACCTTAGATTAGGGGACAAAGTAAAAGTAATTTGATTATTATATTCATGCAAACTAAGTACCAAACAAAGACCCATTAGCTTTATATATAAAGGAAAAGGGCTGAATAATTTTCTCTTTTCATTATATTTACCAGATGTGAATAGCAGCGTCCATATTCATAAAATATATGCTTTATAGTTTTGAGCTTTCTTCTTTGATCGTGAAAATTCTAACTTGGTCTGTTTTTTTGGTCTGCAAAATACCTTGACGTAAAACATTGATACATGTATTTGCCCATTTTGGACAACTTTTGTTTGTTTTTATTTTATTATTTATCAAGAATGTATATATCTTGTCTCTTTTCCAAAGTGGAAACATCAAAAGACAAGTAAGTGAAAACCAAACATCTTTAAAGATGAATGCATTTCACACACTTTTGTTTATTTTCAAGGTTGGGAAGATGGAGACAGCCTCTCTTTTAAAACGACATCAAATGATGCGTGACGCCGCCGATAATGTCCATCTGGTAACTGGGGGTGGTGGGTACACGGGATACAAACTAGGCAAACGGTTGGCAGACATGGGAAAGACAGTTATCTTAGTTGATATAGTGCCTCCAAAATGGACACTGACGAACAAAATGTCATTTGTACAGGTAACGTAATGGGTATTTCCCATCTTCACTTGACAATTAGGTTAAGGAGGCTCTGAACTCTAATAAAAAGTGCTTTTGGACTTAATTTATTTACTGCATTCTTCCGTCTTTTTTGTCGAGAAATGTTAAAAATTTATTTGGGTCTGTTTTAGTGTGACTTGACTCACGAGGATGCTGTAGTGACAGCTTTAAAAGGAGCAGATTGTGTTTATCATTTAGCGTCATATGGAATGTCTGGCAAAGAACAGGTGCAAAGTTGATATTCATTATTATAAGATAGTTGTGGTTTTGAAAATTCACAGCAATAGTACAATTTTTTATACTATTATAAAAATTATAAAATTCACGGCAATAGTATAATTTTTTAACATTTATAATGAAGTACAAAGTTTGCAATGTTCAAAATTTTCAAAATGACCACCGTTGTCATGAAAATAGAGGAAACGTACTAAGTCTAATTCTCTCATATTACAGGGATATTTTGTGCTAGTTAAACTGATTTTCACTAAAAATCAAAACCTTATGGACAAATTTCGACCTTTTCTAATCTACTAAAATTATATATTCTTACTCTGATTTTACCTTTTATAGCTCAGATTTTACCTTTTATAGCTCAGATGATCACCTTTTCTGAACAATTCAATCTTCAATTTTCTATTATAGTTTAACACCAAATTGATTGAAGAAGTTAATATTAAAGGAACAGAAAATGTCATCAAGGGTAAATAAAACACATTTAGATCAGCGTTTTGACAAATTCACTAGCTTTAAATATATTGGATTATATCAAAGAACTTTTTCTCTCCATTACTCAGCATGTTTAATACACGGCATTAGACGTTTGGTTTATACCAGTTCTAACAACGTAGTTTTTGGAGGTCAGGAGATTTGTAATGGAGACGAGTCTTTACCCTATCTGCCAATAGAAAATGTAGGTTCTTGTCATTAAGTTTTTACTTAATCCCAATAAGTTAAAGATGAAAATAAAGTTTATACAATGTTGGTGATCCAGTCAATGTTAAACCACAGTCTTATTGTTGTTTTTGTAATTTACGAAAATCAGCTGGAATTTTAGGTTGGATTTTTACATACAGGTTAACCAGTATATAGCAAAATCCTACATTAAATGTCTCTAACGTGGAATAGGAAAAATGTTCATTTATTCAGGCAAAACAATCTCAAGATATTTTAATAAACCTTGTAAAACAAATACATTAATGATTGCTACATCAACCTTGTGAACCAGTATAATTTTAATTTAATGAAATGATTTTGTATACACATGTATAAATAAAGGCATGAATTCGGATTCATTTTGAATATTTACATTTTATTTTCACAGTTCATTGATTGATTTTACGACAGAGATTAAGAATAAACTATTGATAAAATTTGCCATCAGAACTAGTATTTCCTGGGACATTCTGACAAAATGAGCATATCTTTTGCATTTAGTTTTTAGATCATTATTCGAAAACAAAGAGACTTGCTGAACAAAACGTTTTGGAAGCTGACAAGAGGAATGTACTCCGGACATGCGCACTACGGTTGGGGGGAGTGTACGGTGTAGGAGAACAACGCCATATACCAAGAGTTGTGGTGAGGCAAAGATGTTTTCAATGCTAGTACAGTGTACATGCATATCTTTGAAATCTCATTCTCTCTATATTTTTTTTATTTTCAAATATGAAATATATAATGATTGAGTTAAGTTGGAAAATAAGAAACGTAAAATATTTTTTTTACATTATTTGAGATATAACCGTGCTTCATTCTGTGTTGTGTTTTATGTTAAACGATTGGTGAATTCAGCATATTGAGTTAGAAAATATAAAAAAAGCACTTACGAACATATTTGCACTATATAAATAGTTATAGTATCAATGTACAGAAAGATCCCCGGTTTCTGAATTCAAAAATGTTTCTTCAATTTTCGTGTTATAATAAGCATCATTCTTACAGAACATGGCGCAGTCAGGAGTTATTCAGGCATTATTTGGCACAGATTCTCTGACAGACTTTTTACACGTTGACAATATGGTCCAAGCTCATATTTTGGCTGCCAAAGCACTGACTGAAGAAAAAGGCTACATAGCGGTGTGTATAGCAGTCATTTGGCAAAATGAAAGATCATTAGATAATGGCTTTACATACGATGAAGAAGCATTATTCTTTTAAATTTCTTTAGGCAGGGCAGGTCTACTTTATATCTGATGGGGTTCCTATTAACACATTTGCGTTCTTCCGTCCACTTGTAAGTAAAACTCTGAAACAGAGCCATTTTGAAACTGTGTTGATTGGTGTCTTTTAGTTGTTAATACGCATGATGTATGTAAATAAGACTGTTTACATGTATGTAAATATTTTAATAAGACCGTTTCTTCTAGATAGAAGGCCTGGGCTACTCGTTACCAAGGCTCCAAGTTCCTGTCTGGTTGATGTGCTCTATTGGTAAGCACTTTAATCATTGTACTTATAGTCCATGAGCCACTTGGGTTGGTAGTGATATTTGGTCAGGTATACCCCTAACTAGTGAGAAAATGTATGATAGCATCAAATCTGTTGTGGCTTCAATGCTGGAGACACAGTTATTGCCCTTTTTTGCTCAAATTAGGTATTTTGAGCTAAATATATACATTGTATTTGCAACCTGCAAAGTATTTGTCACACGGTTGCCAACCGTGATAGAAAGTTCTACCAGAATTACTCCGAGCTATGATGAACATATAAAAAGAGCATTAACCGAGTTACTAGCCGTGATTCTTAAAAAATGCATATTTTTACCACTTTTATTGAACAATTACATGTACGTCAAAAATTTGTATAGAGAAAAAGATAAGTACCAACGCACATATACTAGTTTAGTTATTCGTCCGTCGGTAATGACGATGACCACTGTCTCATCTTCATGGGGGAGGGGGATGATCTGGACGTTGGGTGCGGAGGTAACTAGTCAGGCCGATCCTCGCACAAGCAGATGATGGAGTTTTTGGACTAGAGTCACGCCCCCTTCTTTGTAAATCTCAGCTGGCCAGGTGCTTTGCCAGTTGACAACAGACTAATTGCTTTCTGGATCCCATCCAACGTGGGAACGGCATCCAGTGACTGGTTGATGGGAACCTGGGCAGTCTATTGATGGCTTCGTTGTTGATGGTAGAAGGGGGGTTCAGAACGCCATTGAAATGTTCCGCCCACCTGTCGAGTATATTCCCCTTCTCTTTGATGAGTATTAACCCGTCATCACTGAGGAGAGGGGATGAACCTGATGGATTTGGCCCGTAGACTTCCCCAAGTCCACAGTAAAAGTTATTCCTAGGCATGTTATGAGATTCGGCATAGCGTTGGATCTCGTCAGCTTCGGCATTCAGCCAGGAGTCCTGCATATCCCGAAGCTTTTGCTGTACCATGCTGCGAGCATTCCTCTGAGTGTCTTTTTGGCTGTGGAGGAGGGATCATCTATATGAGCCTTGTAAGCGCGATGTTTGTCCTCTAGAAGCTGTGTGATCTCGGAGCAATTCTCATCAAACCAGTCTTTGTGTGTTTTTTTTGGTTGAGTACCCAAGAGACTCGAAGGCTGTATTGTACACTGTATTACGAAGTGTGTCATCCAGCACGGTGGAATTCAGGCGTTCTTCCAGGGTGTCAGCAAAGTACTGAGAGGTGGAAGGCAACTTGAGCTTACCACCGTTGAGACGTTTTGAAGTCTCCTGAGGACGTATCCTGAGTTTGATCCGGAAGTTGAGAGGTGAGGTTTAGAGGCTATGAGACGGTGATCTGTCCAGCACTCCGTGCTGCACATAGCTTTGGTGAACAAAAGAACTGTCTGTCTGTCTCTCTTCCTAACAATGACGTAGTCCTGATCCTTGTTTCTTCTTGTTCTCTTTGTTATTTTGACCGCATGTGTAGGGTCCCCATCAGCCGCGGTAAACTGGCTAGGAAAGGGTGGAGCAGACAATGTTTGGGTACCTTTGATAATCCGCTCCTCTTGCCATGGAGGTGAGCAGTGCGTTCCTAAAGAAGGCTGCTCAGCAGCACAGGTGGCTGCCAAACTCAAACGCAGCTCTGGTTGGTGAAAAGCGACCATATGGCCTGTGCTGCCTGTGTGCAGGTCCGCGACTACCGACTTCCAGTGAACTCGCACCTGTCACATTTGTCGCTCGCCTGTCGCCACAGGGCTTTGGGGTGGATGATAGAAGGGATAGAAGATGATCATTGACTTGTGCGATGAGTTTGATTAAAATGAAGAAGGTTTACGCGTCGCTGACCTCACTCTCTTGCCTGCAACCATCTAGATCCAGTGGCAAGACAGATGTCAGGACGTCTGGAGATGAAGACAGATGCAGCGGATAATTAAGACGTGCTTTATGTGCCTTGCCTTGCTCCAAGCTTTCCACGGTGCTTAATATGACCGCCTTCTTTTCCGTTGAACAATGACGGTTTCTTCCGCAGAGTCAGCAGGTGCACATGCGTTATAGGTAGCCAAGCCCTCAATCAACAGGGTTCGAGACCCGTCAGCGCTTTGTGTAGAGAGTGCTCTCCTATAGGGATCTCCCTTAAGAGTGTACGGGTTCCTTCTACCCGGACTAGTGGAGGGAAGGGGCGTCAGGACATTGCAGGTCGAGAAACACAGCCCACTGCCCACAAAGCACATATGATTGTGCACATATGTTGCTTTATTTTGATGTCAAAAATATATAATATATCACACGTTTAACTTAGATGAACATATAACTGTTCATTATCACCATGGTTTAGCATGAGATTAAATAAATAAACATTTTAGGTAAAGGCTCTACTTGAGATTTGACATATTCAGAAAGTAAATAAAGAATATACGCACAGGGTAAATCAAGTTAATTTTCCTTCAATTTTCATTTTTAGGATAGGGATAAAGATTTACTATGAAATCTATTTATATATATTTTTTACTGAAATAATGTTTTGAGGTGCTAATACGTGATAAAAATTCTTTAGTAAAAATGACCATGCAATATTTTTTTGGTGTGAAAATTGTCACAGTAGTAATTTCTTTCCATTGATCAAAATTTCAAAATTGCGTATTCCACTTTCATGATCAAGGGTAGAATTATATTCCTATATAATTTACACGGCTCATTACAGAGCCAATTTTGAATAATAACTGAACAGGGTAATAGCATGGTCTGTATTCAAAAGAATTTTCAAGAAAATGCCATCCGAAATAAGGTAGAAATTGTGTATTGAAAAACTAACCTTCTTTTTTCAAAGTCACAGCTGAGAGAAAGAACAAGTTGGGTTGGTGTATATAAACAGTTGATACACCATTAAAGCCACAATCAATTCAATGCTATCATACATTTTCTGAAGGTAGAGATGTATGTCCTTCAAAAATTAACTATGAAAATTATTCACCCGAGATGGTACCGATACCGAAAAATTCAATGCCTGGCTCATGGACTATTATTCATTGATGTCGAATTCAGAATTGTGATACAGAAATGTATATGTATTGTTATTCCCGAGCAGCATGGATGATTGAGATGGTTCTTTACATAGTGTCAGGGATCTACCACTTCCAACCCATTTTAACAAGAATGGAGGTAGGCAAACAGAAAAAGAAAGTTGTGGGGTTACATGTTTTGTATTTCTCAATTTTTGAATTAAATATAACGTTCTTATTCTAAAAGGTTTACAAGATGGGCATCTCCAATTATTTTTGCATCAAGAAAGCATCACGTGACCTTGGATATAAGCCAGCCAAACAAAACGAAATATCTGACATACTTGAGGATTTCGTAAAGCGAGGATTCAAAGTGAAGCAGAAGAATATGTCAATAGTGATCAGTTTGAATTGGTGTGCTTATTTTATCTTTTATGTGGCGTTTACGTCTTTTGTTGTATCTTGCTTCCCAATGTGGAAACTACACAACATTTGAAAAAGCCGTTACATATAGTTTTCGACAAACGGAGCTAATATTGGGAGTCAGAAAAACAGTTTTAGTGCGAAGTTTAAGCATTTTTTTTTATTTTAAAAAAATGTTTCACTCCATTTCTTATCAGAACATTTGCAAAAAAAAACTTAACTCTCATATTAAGCTCTAATTGGCAGCAAGTTGTCAAGTTATCAATATACTGAAAGAAAAAAGGTTAACATAATATGCGAAACACTTTTGACTGAGTGGTCGAAAATTATGAAAATCGGTTAGATGTTACATGTACTATGCACTGAAATCGATTTTCAAAATTACGTGACCTGTATGACGTCACGAAGGAAACGTGTGGAAAGTCAAAAACAGGTG